TACACTCAACAGACTTATCCCCCTATAATTTTTGCACTCTCTTTTATCCCCTTTGCCTTTATACAAAGGAACTATGCATGCTATATATATATATATATATATATATATATATAATATATATATATATATATATATATATTATATATATATATATTTATATATATATATGTCGTGCCGAATATGCAAAACTGGTCAATTAGCAAGAACTCATTTAAAATTAAGTCCTTTCTAAAATTTTCTCTTTATACGTTTAAAGATATATTTTTTTTCATTAATGTTAATGTAAAAATTTTTAATTTTGCACAAAAGAATCTTAGAAAACTTACCTAACCTTATTATAACAAGAACAATTTATTTTAGCCTAACCCAACTAAATATATATATATATATATATATATATATGTCGTGCCGAATAGGCAGAACTTGCTATCTTGGCTTAAATAGCAACGCTCATCTTGCCATATAGGACAAGTAAAATTTGTGTATGCAATAATTTCGCCAAAATCATTTTGAACCTAACGAAAAAAATATATTTCACTGTGTTTATTTAGTATTAAATTATTGTAAACAAATCTAAAATATATTTAGTTGGGTTAGGCTAAAATAAATTGTTCTTTTTATAATAAGGTTAGGTAAGTTTTCTAAGTTCCTTTTGGTGCAATATTATATTTTTTTACATCAACATTAATGAAAAAAAATATATCTTTAAACGTATAAGAGAAAATTTTAGAAAGGACTTAATTTTAAATGAGTTCTTGCTAATTGACCAGTTTTACATATTCGGCACGACATATAATATATATATATATATATATATATATATATATATATATATATATAATATATATGCATGTGATAAATGGTTTTGATGGTTTTGAAAGCCGACAAGTTGAAGACTAAAACACTTATGTAACATATGGGAATCTTTATTGAAGAAACGTTTCGCCACACTGTGGCTTCATCAGTCCAATACAAAGCAGAAACGTGTAAGGAGAGGAAGAGTACTTTCTCTACTTTCTACAAGAGTGGTGGACTGATCACATCGATTCGAGGCTGAGGGACTGATTACCTCAAACTCCTCCGCTCCCTACCCCTCTCTGCTTTGTATTGGACTGATGAAGCCACTGTGTGGCGAAAAGTTTCTTTAATAAAGATTCCCATATGTTGCATAAGTCTCTCAGTCTTCAACTTGGGGGTTTTCAAAGCCATTTATAACATCTGTCAGACACTGCAACATCATTGGATCTTGTTACAAGGAATTCTTCAATACGTTCCACAAGTTTAAGTAGGGACAACGTCTCGGCATCCCTCACTCCTCTCTCAGACCCCTTAAAAGACTCTCAGCATCCCACACTCCTCTCTCAGACCTCTAACAGATTCTCAGCCTCCCTCACTCCTCTCTCAGACCTCTAACAGACTCTCATTACTCCCTCACTCCACTCTTAGACCTATGAAAAGACTTTCAGCATTCCTCACTCATCTCTCAGACCCCTTAAAAGACTATCAGCATCCCTTACTTCTCTCTCAGACCCCTTAAAAGACTCAGCATCCCTCACTCTACTCTCAGACCCTTTAAAAGACTCTCAGCATCCCTTACTCCTCGCTCAGACATCTAACAGACTCTTAGCATCCTTCATTCCTCTCTCAGCATACTTACACACCCCACATTCCTAAGTACCTCACAAAAAATAGGTGTGATGCGGCAGTGATTAAAAGAACAATAGCGGGGGAGTGCCACAAGCATCCTTGCACTGGCACCCGGATACTAGTGCCACGTCCGGGTGGGAGAATGGGAGGGTAGGAGTGAGAGGGAGAGTGGGAGGAGGAGTAGGAGGGCCAGAATTAGTGATAGGAAGGAAAGATCTGTGTGACTCAGAAGGAGGGAGAGTGAGAGAGAAGGGAAGAGGGAAGGAGAGAGGAAGGAAGGAAGGAAAAGAGGGAGAGAAGGAGGAAGGAAAAAGCTTGCTTGGGAAGGGGAGAATTAAGGCCTCGAGATGGAATTCTAGTTTCAAGGCCTGGGGGGGGGAGTTTAATGGAAAATAATAATAATAACAATAATCATTAATTTCCAAGGTAAATAAACATCGATACTCCACTAAAATAAGTAAAAGAACTAATAAAATCAATAATAAATGACATAAAATAAGACAAAAATAAATTAATTATATTGCCTCAATACTCACAGCTCGATTAAAGACAGGAGAGAGATGATGGTCTGAGCTTGCTACCATCTGCAGCTCATAAGACTGCCATCCCCACGAGCCCCTTTGAGGCGGGGTAGATGGCAGACCAGAGGCCTAGCTTCTTCCTACGAGCCCCGTGAGGGCGGGGAATGTGGCTAGGCCTAGGGACATGCCCCGTGAGGGCGGGGAATGTGGCTAGGCCTAGGGACAGTTGGTCCCAAAGATGAGGGGGTACTTGTACCTCGAGACACTCCCCAGATAGGGAGCCAAGGCCGGGTCACCACTACTTGGAAAAGACCCGGACAGGGAGAGTACCG